AAAAAAAAAAAAAAAAAAAAAAAAAAAAAAAAAAAAAAAAAAAAAAAAAAAAAAAAAAAAAAAAAAAAAAAAGATTTAGGTAAGTTATTAAAGAAATCTATAAAACATTAATCTTAGAAAGGATATTCTGTGAATGAGCAAGTTGGCCAAAATAGAAAGAAGAGAATTTAGTTTGTCTAGGGACTATGTATTAATGTAAAAAGTACATTGATGCAGGCCCAGAATCTGGGCCTCTTTGCCTAAATAACAGAATTTTTGTAGAGCATGAATTGGCTTTTTAATAACAAAATATATAAAGGGTTTACAAAAATCTTACCTTATCATAAAACTAATTAAAATTGGATAGATTTATTTCTTTTTTATTTTCATATAATGTTAAAAGATAGTGAAATATTTTTGTTTGTCTTTAAAGTAAACTGCAGAAGAAAAGGGAAAAAGAGTAGAAAGAAGAGAGAAATTCATTTGGCCTCATGCTGTATTTATTGGGTCTTATTATTTTCAAATGTTTTAGTCATTTTGAAATTTTTTGAGTAATAATTTAGGCTAAATGAGTGATGTGTGATCTTATTTTTTGATAACAAGTGTTTTTTATCTTTTTAAGTGAAAGCAAGTTTATTAAGAAAGTAAAGGAATAAAGAATGGATGTTCATAGGTAAAGCAACAGCCTGAGATGCTAGTTGCCATTTTTATGGTTCTTTGTTTTTTATTCAAGATGAAGTTTCGCTCCAGGTTGGAGTGCAGTGGTCTTGACTCACTGCAACCTCTACCTCCCAGTTTCAAGTGATTCTCCTTCCTCAGCCTCCCAAGTAGCTGGATTACAGGTGCCTGCCACCACACCCAGCTACTTTTCGTATTTTTTAGTAGAGACAGGGTTTTGCCATGTTGGCCAGGCTGGTCTCGGTTATTTCTTGATTATATGCTAAACAAGGGATAAATTATTCATGAGTTTTCTGGCAAAGAAGTAGGCTGAACCCTTTTAGACCACTTTTAGGGTGACTTCCTGTCGTTGCCATGGCATCTGTAAACTGTTATGACACTAGTGGCAGTGTCTTTTAGCATACTAACACATTATAACTAGAACATAATGAACAGTGAGGACAACCAGAGGTCACTTTCATCACCATCTTGGTTTTGGTGGGTTTTAGCCGGCTTCTTTACTGCAATCTGTTTTTTTTCAGCAAGGTCTTTATGACCTGTATCTTGTCC